TTAAATTATATGCCTCGTTAGAACCTTGCTACGAAAATCTTGTGGGGAAAAATCAAACGGAGAAAAAAGAGTATATATCTAGCTAAATCTTAGAATAGTGTTAGAAAGATTGTATATGTTTATTTCAATTTCATGATTTTGCTGGAGTTCATGAATGTAAAAGAACTTTAGCGAAATATGTTTGGTTCTATCACTTTTGATAAATCCTCCTTTGATTTATGCAATACAAATAACCTTATCTTCATATACCATTGTTGTGGGTTTGTAATCAAAGATAGAAAAATCAAAGATAGTCTGCAAGTAATTAGCCGTTACGATACAGGTTAAAAACTCAAATTTTTCTATAACTCAGATGACGAAAGGGACCTTACCGTTAGATTCGTTTTGCAAAATCTAGCTATCTAGTCAATTTTTGTCGAATTCTAAGAGAGCTCAGATTTTTTATGATGCGATTGTGCATCGTGCGACTAAAATGAACGCGAACAGGTTTTTTCGCGAGANTGCTTCAATGAGCGGGCCAACATTATCCTTATTTTTTAGCGAACTTACTTTGTCTGCTGCAGCGACTATCTATAGCACGACGACGTAGCTCCAGCATTCAACAATAGCACAACTCCAGCGGGACAATGATCTCCTAAAAAAGTGGTTTATTGGTTTGAGTTTGTTATTTTTTTTTTAATTTTACATATTTTTAGGTTATTTACAATCTTTTTCTGTACGTTATAGGATATGAGGACCTAAGATTAGTTCAGACTAAGTGGTCATTTGTGAACAAGAATAAGTTCATCTATTTCTAGTGTTTGTTTTGTCAACAAACTACAAAGAATTCCAAAAGAACCAAGGAGCCCTTTTGATCAAGAACCAAGCCTTTTATTTTTTTTGGCACAATTGGGAATGGATTGCATAAAAAGAAAGCAAAAATGATAGGAACCACTGTGAGGTGTATGGACGATGTTTAATGAGTTCTCCATACTGCTATTAAATNAGGTGTATGGACGATGTTTAATGAGTTCTCCATACTGCTATTAAATATTCTTTAGGTTGTAATGTCTATGTTTTTAAATATTATTTTCTCTCTAAAAAATTTCAAATCCTGAGTTCAATTTAATGCTTTGTGCACATTCATAAATTTTGCAAGTTATACACTATTCCTGCAATATACTGAAATTCAATTTGATTTGTTGTTAATATGTCTTATAGTTCATTTGATTTGTTGCCAATTTGATATATTATTTGGCTTGGATTGTAGTTAAAAATAAGCTCGCCTTCTCGAAGCGGTACGATAGTTGCTGAAGATATGTTTTAAATTTGGAAGTGATAATGATGTTTGTCTTGGTGGTGATAGTTAATCTCGAAGTTGTGATGGATGGGTGGTGGTGGGGTAAAGCTCTTGGGATAAATTTATGTAACATAAAATTAATTTAGTTGATGAAATTTGGTTTGAATTGAATAGCAAAATTAATTTAAATAATTGACTTGATTAGATATAATTTCAATTGGAGCACAAAATTTGATTAGTTATCAAAATGTAGGCTAAATGGTAATAATGGTAATGGTGATATTAGTTGTAATAGTTCTATATAGTTGTGTTTTTAGAGGATTTTGCTTTAATTATTTATGAGACTCAAATTTTATGTATTCAGTTTCTCAATTTGATCATGTTAGTGTAGTTAAATTTAATCATAGAAATTTGATTAAGATCAGTTTCCATTGATGGCATGCTATATCTCCACGAATATGTTTAAGTATAATATAAGAAAAACATCTTTACTTGATAAAATTTGCACATTTTCATATTTTTACAGGGTCTTATTTTTAAAGAGAATTTAGTCGTAATTGTTTGAAATAATAGAAAAAAATTATTATATTTAGAGGCACGAACATTTTCTAAACTATCAATATACTATGAGAACAAAAAGTATAATTTAACCCGATAGAGTGTTAACAATTTAGTTTTAATTGATTTAGATTTAACTTTTGTTGATGTTGTTTATTATATTTTTTGTTACAATTCATCTCTTAATCTCCCTTTCTATGTCATATTTATTGATTGTTTTCATACCACAATGATTTTTGAATTTACTACCATTTGGATATCAATCAAATAATTAAATGGTCATTAAACAATGTTTGAGATTGTTTAGATTTGTATGCTATCAAGTTTTTTTTTTAAAAAAATAATGTGCTCATATTATATTTATCAATATTTTTTCTTAGTTTTTCTCATTGGCAAAACAGTCTCTTAATGCACATGTATTTACTTTCAATTTTTTTGTTTGTTACGTCATCCCTTCAGGCACAGACAATTGCTAGTATGTATATATAAAAAGATATATAGACAAATAAGATACATCTTAATACAAATAATTAAATTTCCATCTACTTTCCTTTTAATTTTGAAGGGATTGATTTTGATGAGTTAGAAGGAAAGTTAATTCATCCACTTTTATATCCTTCTTATTTTCCTTCCTTACCAAACATGATATTTTATTTATCCCTTCAACTTTTCATCCTTTCAGTTTTTCACCATACTAAACGGAGCATAAGATTCTACTTTCTTAGTTTGATTAGGTTTTTGCTATTATATCATTGGTTGTATTATTCCCTTCTTGTTTATTATACCTTTATTTTTATTTGCATTTTTGCATCAGTTGGTATCAAAAATTAGTTACGTTCTTGTTTTTATGCCACCAACAAGACAATCTTTGGAGGAGGTTTATATTTTTGACACAAGGTTTGAAAATGTTTTTTTCGATAAAAATACAGCAATAATAATATGCACGGGAGTAAAATCATATTTTTGGAATGAGTTCTTTCAAATTACTAAAGATTGCCCATTAAAGTTGTTGCCGCTTCAACTGTTCAGTATGGTATAAACAAGAGATTTTGATTTAGTAAGGACACAATTTAAGGACAGCATAGTTATGTATGATCTCTGCCCATTGTTCTTGCCCATTGTTCCTATTCTTGACCTCAAGATTGAAGAATGCTTACTCTATAAGAGTGTTTTTATTGGCTACTATAATGGGAATATAAATGCACAAGACGATGTGATAGTATAAAAGCCTACTTTTTGGGAGCCAAAATTTTGGGTTGGGCAATAGTTTAAATTCAAGCAAAGACCAAATTATTGAACCCAGATTCAATGACTTAGTTGGAAGCCTAAATTTAAGCGAATACTTAGATTTCGAAATGAATTCGAGAGCGAATTTTTTCCAACTTAGAGAGAATGATGTAGAAAAAAAGTGGAGATTTGGATTGATTATTTTCTAATTATGTGAATTGGACACTTTCTAGGAGATTTTTATTTATTTCTTAATTTAATTAGAAAGTTATTTAATTTTATTTTCTTATATCAATTAGGATTTTATTTTATTTTATTTCCTAGTTTACTTAAGATTTTACTTTCCTAGTTTGATTAGATTTATTATATAAACAGTTGTAAGCCTCGAGGCTCGAGACTATTTTGATAAATAACATTATAGCGTAGTCTTGTCTCTTTTTTTTTCCAATTATTCTGTGGAACCAACAGACTTAGAGTAGGAATCTAAACTGATATTTGTGTACAAATCAACTGTTTATTCTTATTATCCTCTTTTTGTTCATTATAACCTTATTTTTACCTACTTCCTTGAATCAAGAAGGAAACAAGAGTAACAAAAAAAAACATCTAAGGATAAAAAATGTTATTTGGACCTACGTTAAAAATTTAATTAATAATATAGTCATTGAATTAAAAGTAGGCTCCATTAAATAACAGAATTTATAATTAATTAAATAATTTTATTAAATTAAGTATTCTAATTAAATCCATATAACATCGTCAAAAAATAAAAATAAAAATAAAAATTGAAGCTTCGCTATCTACCTTTTTGCCTAACTGCAAAAGAGGTAACAAAGCTTGTGTATTACATGGCTAGTCTGTGGAAGCAAAAGAGAAAGTGCAATGCGAATTCTATGCAGCAGTCCCACCAGGTATTGCTAGAAGTAGAAGTGGAAAATAAATGTTGCAGCTCTTAGATTGCTCAACTGCTTGTCTGACCCCTTCAAAAGAAGGAATGCACACGGTGGTGAAGGTTAGGAGTTACGAAGACAATCTTAACCCGTTAAAATTAATTGCGAACCATGTAATTCATGTTGTTTTTGTGTTAAATTTACAGGTCGCACCATTTATCAAATATCCTAATTTTAAATTTATTTACCAAATTGTCAGTGTTTTTTTACAAAAATGTGTTTTAAATGTCCCTTTTTCAATGCAAAGACTTACTAATTTGAAAACACACGTTAAAGATTTTTCATTTAGAATAGTGTTGTCAAAAACTGATTTTCTTTTTTTAAAAAATAATAATTTGATAAATAAGTTTAAAATTATGACATTTAAATTTTAAAATTACGATAATCAAATGATTAACTCGCCAACGAATTGCATAAGGTCACCGATCTCTAGATATATCTATATTGTTTACCCAGACGATTAGTTCTTTCGAACATAGAAAACTAGCAAATCATCAATGTCTTTTTTGCTATTAAGTTGTCCTTGCAGTGTTTTTTATTTTGAAAAATGTTATACTTACTAAATTTTTTTACTAAATTTTTCATACTAAATGATGTGGTATAATTTTTATTATTAAATATTAATAAAATTCACTTATTTATTGGTAAAAGTTGAGTCATATCATTTAAAATAGAAATTTAGTAAAAAAAATTGATAAGCACAATAGTACACCTTTTTGTTTGGTATGACAACCACATATCATGCGGTTTAATAAAACGCCGCCGTTTGGTGTTCTTTTTACATTTCTTTTTATTTCTCCTTACCAAAACGACGTCATTTTCGTCCTTTAAATCAGCGCATCAGACCCCTCCCTTTTCTTTCTCCCTTTTCTTCTTCTTCGTCAAACTGGGTTTGATTCTCCCACGGCCAATAATCTTGTGATACTCTCTCTCCTCTGATCTATCTTTCAACAGCAAAGCAACAATAACAGTTATTCTCTCTCTTTATGGCCACAACAGTTTCTCTCTGTTTGTCCTTAGACCCACAGCCTCACTATTACCACCATAACCACCTCTACCAGACCACCCACTTCAAAAACCAAGCACGATTCCTTTCCCCAAAACACACTCACCCACTTGTTATCTTCCCCAAATCTGACCGTTATTACCTCATCTCCTCATTCTCTACATCCCACTCTTCTTCCTCGTCTTCAACTTCACCATCATTTCTCCAAAACCCCCTTCTTCCAGGGCGTTTTCTCACCAATGAAGAGCTTGAAAAGCTTCAATCCCTTGAGGATTTCAGATATTACAAAGAATTGGAATCTGGGTCTATGTGGGTTCGAGTGATGAGGCAGGAAGAGATGGACATGAATGTTTAGTTGTTGGCAGAATCTTTTGCAGAGTCCATGTTGTTGCCTATGAGATATGTGAGATTCTTGGGGTTCTTGGTGAAATAGTACTTGATTGAGAGGAGAACTCTGCTGCCCCACACTACGATACTTATTGGATTCTATAGAGCAGGTGAAGAAGAGGATTTACAGTTGGCAGGGACAAGAAGAAAGACATGAACATACATCCCAAATTTGAAATCAGTGAGTAACAAAATATAAAACTAAGTCTATTTTTCACAAAATCATTATCCCAACATAGCAGCACAAACTTGGAGAGGGAAAGAAGGCAACGTCGAAGCCTAAGTGAGAAGAGTTATGGCGGTGGTGAAGGTAGGAGAAGCCGAAGGTAGCCGTCGTAGGAGCAGTTGTTTGACAATAACGAAGGTAGGAGAAAGAAAAAGGAGGGGGCTGATGCGTTGATTTAAAGGACCAAAACGACGTCGTTTTGGTAAGGAATAATAATAAAAAAATAATTTAAAAAAAACACCAAACGGCAGCGTTTTATTAAACCGCGTGAAATGCGATAACCTTCCCTACCGCAGAGGAGCCGGACCTGTCACAAAGTACTAGATATCACTATTATTGATATGCACTTGATATGTTCGGCCGAAAAAAGCTATATGCATTGGTGGTTAAGCTGACACATGTACATCGAAGGGACCACCTAATGAATCTTGTATGCTAACAATAGCGGAGCTTTAAATAAAATTTCCAATCAGATTGGCCTTGTGTACAAAGCTTTACAGCTTAGGATTAAAGAAGTGGCCACCCGGTAGGTCCTTTGCATAATCTGTGCTTTCTAACATTTTCATTCAAATGGACCCAATCTGATTAGGCATGATGGAAATGCAGTCTCTTTGGGGCATTTCATCTGTTCGATGATAAAGTAAATCACACACATTAATGAGGTTATAATTGATTGATTACGTAATAGAAAAAAAAAAGGGAAAATTTGTTGTATAATTAAAAAAATTTTGAGAATATAATTGCAAAAAATATAAGAAAAATATAAAAATACTAGAGAATTAGACTTCTCTACTTGTGTATCTCTCATAATCATGAAAGCCTCCAATCTTTAATGGGGATTAAAGGTAATATTTACACATTTACTTGGGCGCACCAAGAGGTGGGGGGTTATGGTGTTAGACATTGATACAATTTAATTGCCTATAGTAAATGGTAGCAGGCAATGGGTTATCCACTAAATATAATGTTTACAACACTCTCTTTGGATGACCACTATGTTTAAATTATATGCCTCGTTAGAACCTTGCTAGGAAAATCTTGTGGGGAAAAATCAAACGGAGAAAAAAGAGTATATATCTAGCTAAATCTTAGAATAGTGTTGGAAAGATTGTATATGTTTATTTCAATTTCATGATTTTGCTGGAGTTCATGAATGTAAAAGAACTTTAGCGAAATATGTTTGGTTCTATCACTTTTGATAAATCCTCCTTTGATTTATGCAATACAAATAACCTTATCTTCATATACCATTGTTGTGGGTTTGTAATCAAAGATAGAAAAATCAAAGATAGTCTGCAAGTAATTAGCCGTTACGATACAGGTTAAAAACTCAAATTTTTCTATAACTCAGATGACGAAAGGGACCTTACCGTTAGATTCGTTTTGCAAAATCTAGCTATCTAGTCAATTTTTGTCGAATTCTAAGAGAGCTCAGATTTTTTATGATGCGATTGTGCATCGTGCGACTAAAATGAACGCGAACAGGTTTTTTCGCGAGATCTAAAAAATAATTTAAATTTAGTTCAATAAAACTATATTAAACTTAACACAAGATGATATTTAATTAATTCAAAATAAAATTTGATTAGAAAAGAGGGTCGTGTGACGTATTGTGCACCAAACATCCAAAGAGTATAAAAAGGAGGAAAAATAAAAATTTTCCCATTTCTTCTCTTGTAATTTTTAGAAATAGAGAGAGAGAAAATAGAGAAAACTCAAATTCTCTCACATTCTTCCTCTAATCTACAAAGATTCAATCGTCGGATCAATTCGGGCAGATAATTAAAGTTGTTTTACACGAAGAGAGCTATGCGTCCATATCGAAGATTGTGGCTTTCTCCACAATCTCAAACACATAAGTTTTGGGATAAAGCTTGGGAGGCTTGATTTGGAACCTTTAGGGCCTTTTTTACGCGAATATACGCTATAAGAGGTAAAGTTTCTTTCTTATCTAGGTTTATTTTTAATTTAGGGTTCAAATATGAAATGGGTAAGGTGTTAGAGTTGAATTCTCATGTATAACACATACCTAGTGTTGTTAGAATGTGAAAAATGGGTATGAGAATATTTTAAAACTAAATCTTGTATGATTCAGGTTTGATGAAATTGCTTGATATAAATTTCATGGATTATGTGTTGTTTGGGCATGATATGTGTTTACATAATGTTGTCTATTATGTATTTGATAAAATGTTTAGGGACCCAAATATGTTATTTGAATTGAAAATGCTATAACATGCATTGTGATGGTGTGAAATGTTATTATATGTTTTATGGTATAATTGACATTTGAGGAATTAAAAATGTTGATGGGAATTGGATATGTTCATTGTATACTTTAAGACATGATGAGCATGTAACATAAATTGCAATTATACAATTAGATTGCATGATAATATGAAATGTAATTGCATATTACATTCGCATATGCATACGTAGTATAATATTCGTGGGCATTCGACATGAGTGTGGGTGTGTGTGCATGTTTTTGATCAAACACCTTCCTTGGTGAGCTGATACGTAGGCTCAGAAAGATTGCATTGAATAAATGTGTCAGGGCTAATAAGAAGGGCTAAATTCTCCATCGGGCGTAAGACCTAGTAATTTCGGATACGCACTCTCATTGGTATTGATTCCATAAAGTGTACCAGTATACACGAAACAGTTGGTGGAAGTCCATAGATGGTATGTTGGTTGGTTGACTGTTGGTGAAAGTCCATAAACACCCATCCAAAGAAAGACACAAGATTTTATAAAATGGTCATTGAATGTCTAACATCGATGGGGGGGGCTTGGAATACCTGATGCATATGCATGGCATGACATGTGTTGTGAGAGCCGGTGGATGGCTCGGGTTGGTATTGCATGTTTGAGTTCCATTGCATGACATGACATGAAATAGTATCATTCATTTATGACATGTATATATTTGAATGGATGCTTGATGTGATAAATTGCATGTGACATTTTGTATGCATCTAGATTAGAGAATAGCTTCCTTAGGAGATACCCTATTGAGCATGACTCACCCTTTATAGAGATATATTTCAAGTGTTGGACAAGCTTCGACAGAAGGGCCCCACTTGGGACCATGTTGGTGATAGAGTCAGATTGTGGCTCTTAAATTGCATTTTGTAATCAATTATGTAATTTTGTTTTTGGCTGTGTAAGGTATGTACAAAACTTGCATTTTGACAAAAGAATGTAATAGAAAATTATTCTTTTGTAAATCAAATGAATGGAAGGGGTGTTGAATGAGTTATTGGGATAAAAGTTGGATTTTGGAGAGTTTTGTNGAAAATTATTCTTTTGTAAATCAAATGAATGGAAGGGGTGTTGAATGAGTTATTGGGTTAAAAGTTGGATTTTGGAGAGTTTGAGNTGTAAGGTATGCACAAAACTTGCATTTTGACAAAAGAATGTAATAGAAAATTATTCTTTTGTAAATCAAATGAATGGAAGGGGTGTTGAATGAGTTATTGGGATAAAAGTTGGATTTTGGAGAGTTTTGTGGAAATCTGGGCTCTAGGTACTAGTACCTCACAGATAGCTGACATCTAAAGAGCTTAGGTACGGGTACCTAGGCTCACAGGTACTAGTACCTGGAATATAGTGGGCTCAAGTACTGGTACCTATACTCATAGGTACCGGTACCACTTTGTCTAGGGCCCAGATATCGATACCTGAAAATCAAAGGGTTCAAGTAATGGTACTACATACCCGAGGTACCGATACCTTTTCTCAAAAAAATTGAAATTTTAAATGTAACCTGGCCGAGCCTTCACATCTCGAGCCCTTTCATTTGGATGATGTAATTGGTTGAGTATTAATCCTATATTTTGGGATGTGGTCCTTGGAATGACCATATGATTATTGTATGAACATGTTACATATTAGGTAGTGCTTCGTGCAAAGGAGACTCGACCTAGATCTCCGTTTGGTTATGATTCTGATGAATGGGGTGTAACGACGTAGTATCATGTTATACAGTATTCACGAGTATTTTGTAGATTGATAAGTAATCAACAGATAGAGACACGACCCCCCAATGTTGGAGCGTCACAGCTTTGGTATCAAAACTTAGGTTCCCTATTACCTTGGACTTGAGGGTAGACGTGTTAAGTCATTGCATTAATTATGCATTACATGTTATGTGCATTAAATGCTACATGTTGTGTGATCTGTGATTATATGCATGATTAAATGTGTATGAGAATGAGATACCAGGGTTAAAAAACATAACCTTAGTATCGAAAAAAAGAGTGAGAAAATTTAGAATTTGGGCATCTACTGGTGGATGGCATGAATCCTACCAGTGAGACAAGAGGAAAATTTCCATCTTTGAAACTTTGATCCCTAACTTTGGGATACTAAGTTAGTGATCTATTACTATCTTATATGTGTGTAGATGTAAAATAGAGGAAGATGACATTGCAAAGGTCGAGGGGATGGACAGAACAACCAACCACCACCACCACCGGCCTTTGATCAACAAGCCTTCATGGAGGCTATGGCTACTATATTTGCACAAGCCAATGCTAACATGGGTCGTGGAGGCTCGAACAACCTCCAGAGGTTCAAGGCACATAAACCACCAACCTTTATGGGAGGGGCAAATTCGATGGTGATCGACCATTGGTTCCAACAAATAGACAAAATCTTGGAGGCTATAGAGATCACATCTAACGCCACTAAGATAAGACTAGCCACATTCCAACTTGGGGGGGGAGACCCATCTATGGTGGAATTGGGCAAAGACCTCAAAGAATATTAAGGCAATGGCTTAAGAAGAGTTTCATGAGCTCTCAATAGGCAAAGTACTTTCTGTCGGCTCTTCAACATGTGAAAGCCCGAGAATTTCTAGACTTGAAGAAATAGACCATGACGATGATGGAATACGTGGTTAAATTCACTGAGTTAGCCCATTTTGT